GATAATAAAAGCTTATACTCTGTACTTGGGAGTACACTGTCACTCTGGGAAGTGCAAAAGTCTTACTTCGTGTCTGTTTTCACAGCCCCTTGCTTTCCTGAACAGGGCCACTAAAAGGTCCATAATGGTCCCTCGGCCAACTCTGCCCGGTGACTGTACCAAGGAAATCGCATAGATTCCATAAGAAAGAAGATAATCTGCTCAAAAACATTTAACAGAACTTTTGAGAATCAACATCTCTTGATGCAGTAAACTGAATGGCAGGCAAGATATTCCTTTCCCTTTTGAAAAAAAGGCTTAAAGATGTTTAAAATTTTTTATTTTAAAATAAAACTGATTCATAAAGTACAAGAAGAAAGTATTTCCATCCAGTGCTCTGTATCCACCTTCAACAAGCTGTTGGAAACAGAAAAAAGAAGAAAATCAGAAATTTATAATCTTTAACTTCAAATTATTGTTTTGTGGTCTTAAACCAGAAACTATAAAATTTGGTGTTACAGACAAGAAAACTGAGGCCCTGAAAGTTTTGGATGCCCAGCTCTGATGGAAAATCTAGGACTAGATAGCTGCAAGGCTCATTTCCAAGTCACTGCTCGTTCCACTTGACCAGGCTGCCAACAACGTAAGAATTCAGACTGGAGTTTACAAATCGTCAATGCAGAGACGTACTATGGTGCTACCAAGGATGTCACTGAAGAGAATGACAAGGGGGAACAAACGTGGCGAGAACACCTCCAGGGTCCGTTCTTTCAGTATTTCAACGACATTGCACATGGTAAGACATTCCCATTAAACACCTTCAGTGAGCTAAACTACGCCACCTACGAGCAAGTTATTAGGAAAAACAAAACTTCCTCCTTTTTCTTGGGTCTGTGGGAACAAGTCACAACTCCGGTCTCCCCGTACAGTGCCACTATATGTACCACTCACGGACACTCCGGGGAGCGCCAGCCGGGCAGGGCAGGCGGCGTGTGTAAGGCGAGTGTGGCTCAGGTCCGGGCCGCGCCGGGGATCCCACGCGGGCATGGCAAGGTGGCCGCGCCGGGTCTCAGGCCAGGTCCAGCTTCTTCTGCGTCGTCGCCAGCTTGTCCTGCAGCCTCCGCTTTCTCCAGTCTAGGTAGCGCCTCCGCAGCCGGTTCGCCTGCCAGCCCACGAGCACTCCGGAGGCGAACGCCACCAGCACGGAAAACTGCAGCGTCCTCTCGGACACCTCCGCCATGGCGGCCGGCGGGCGATGAGCGCGGCCTACGGCGCGGCCGCGGGGTCAAACGGCGCGGCGCGTGGGCGGGCGGGGCGCGCGAAGAGGG